GAGTAAAAAACGCTCTGTGCTCCCTATTAGAAAAAAAAAAGTTCTTCATGACAAAGCAAGGCAACATATTCGAATGGTCTGTTCTATTTCAACTGCCATATTCGCCTGACCTTGCACCAACTGATTATTACGTTTTCTGAGTGTTGCAAAACTTTCTTTCATGAAAACTAGATTCAAGAGTTTATCAAATACTTTTTCATAACAAAACCTGCAGAATTTTGAAACGTGGTTGGTCTGTTCTATCTGACCTGCTCTAACTGATTATTATCTTTGCTAAGTGCTGCAAAACGCTTTGATGGGAAAAAATTATCTTCAGATTAAAGAGTTTATCGAAAACCTTTTCACCTGTGGATTTTTTCTCGAAAGGTATCGAAAAATTGCATGATAAGCAACAAGTCATCGCAAATAATAGTGAATCTATAATTGAATATAATGTAATTGCAATTTACTTTTTGAAGAATGAATTTGATTAAAAAAAATTATTTTTTATTCAAACTAATAATATTAAATACAATGTCATAATTGCTCATTTCCCTATGCTGTGATCTAAGTCCTGAGGGGATTACCAGTTGCAAGCCAGAAAAATACTGTAAACTAAGCAATTTAATTAATTATAAGAATGATCAACAAAACCATCGCTTATTTATAAAGATCAAATCGAAAACGAATACAATTATTACTGAACAAGTATTCTTTTTCAATTGATTTTTAAAGCCGAATATGGAAATTAATTACCTTCATTAAAAACCGCTAAGTTGGGCATGATATAAGACATATGATGGTAGATATGATTGAATAAACAGCATTTATATGATGTCAGTTTTACAAAATAATTACAAACATGACAACACAACCAACTCCATAGATATTTAATTAATTTTCAAACATTTGAGCGGACACACCCACAAACTATGACCTTTATATACTAGATGACACCAATATTTCAGTAGAAATATATTTCATGACTTAACAATAATCACCGGATATTAAAATCATCTGTTACGAACATAACTAAAAAATAATTAGGTCAAAATTATTTTATTTAATTATTAAATGTTAACATTTCTTATATCGTAAACTGAAATTTGCAGTCAGATTTTATTTTCCTTCTTTTTTTTTTTTTCAGGACAAAGACTTGTGTTCGCTTGAAAAGTTACAAAACTTAATGTCAAGTTAAAGTTATTAATTTGATTTAATCATACCACAAGCATTTAAGGGCGCGTTTTCTGGTGGTGTTTTGAAAAGCATGTAAAGAGAATCTACGACTATACGAGATGAGCAACAGATTAAACCCCAGTATGTTAATAAACCGAATATACAAAACCAGCAACAGTTTATACACCAGTGTATAAATAAACCGAATATACGAGGTAAGCAACACATTATACCCCAGTAAGTTAATAAACCTAATATAAGCGATCAGCAACAGATTATATATACCCCATTATGTTAATAAACCGAAAATACATGGTCAGTAACTGATTATACAGCAGCGTGTTAATAAACCAAATATACGCGATAAGCAGCAGATTATACCCCAGTATGTTATTATACCCCAGTGTGTTAATAATCCGAATATAAGAGGTCAGCAACAGATTATACCCTAGTGTGTTAATAAACCGAAGGTACAAGGTCAGCAACAGATTATACCCTAGTATGTTAATAAACCGTGTATATGCGATCAGCAACAGATTATACCCCAATGTGTTAATAAACGAAAATACGTGGTCATTAAGTGATGATACCGCAGTGTGTTAATAAACCGAATATACAAGGTCAGCAACAGATTATACCTTATATATAATCCATGTTAATGTAGATAGACTAATATGGAAAATTTGGAATGCAACTTTTGAATCGTACCATCTTGGAATGTGCGGTTGATATTCTGACATATGTTGGAAAAAGTGCTAGGAAATGTTTAACAGAGAATGTGACACCGAAATCGGAAGTAGCAATTGGGATAGTGACAGTAGCCTCCCCAAAAAACTATTTATTAGATTGTATGTTTTCACTATTTATTTATTATATTGTTTATTGGAATGGTTGACAAATCATCGGCTAATAACCAATCGATTCAGACTTTATAATATGGTAAATAATAAAAACTTCCTTATAATTGGTTCACATATTTTAATAATTTAGTAAATATTTATAAATTCATGAATAAAAAAAAAATTTTCATATTTATTTCTTTATAAATTGGTAAATGATAAATATTGCATGACACTAGTTTTAATTGTATTAATTTTTAGAAAACGGTAAGCATAAAATTATTCTTAGGAATAAACAATCTAAAAAGCAGTGTTTAATATTTTTTTTACTATATATTATTACATTATTCGGACTATTGTCCTCATCTTTGCCGCAATATTTATTACAAAGTTTCGGCCTTTGTACGCTCCGGCCTTCTTCAGGTGGTTGGAATGTCGAAATGAACCCTTTACTGGTATAGACTGCCATGATTAATGGATGTCAGTTATCATTTATCTCCTGTCAATTTTCCCTCTGAAAGTTCTCCACTGCTTTAAACGGGTATTGAACTCACACTCTTTGGGTCCTGTCACTGTATCTAACCAACGCCATTATCAACTGTGTCATGTGTCCTTGAGGATATCTGTGTATGAATTTCTGGGTATTATAAACCTAATGTCTTCAGCAACCATTTTTACCAGTGCTCATATTGCAAAGAGTGTGAGTTCAATACCCGGTTAAGGTAGCGGAGAACTTTCAGAGGGAAAATTAACAGGAGATATAAAATAAAAACAGCTAAATAAAAGGTTCAGTTCGACATTCCAACCACCTGAAGAAGGCCGGAGCGTACAACGGCCGAAACGTAATAAATATGGCGACAAAGATGAGGACAATAGTCCGAATAATGTAAATAATGTACATAATCCCTCATCTCAGAAATATAGACAGATATTGTAAATTCTTAAGAACAAAAAAATATGTATAAATTTACTTTCATCATATGTTAAGTTTTTATTACAATTCTAATCATTTTTTTTTTTAACTATAAACATTTTTGAAGAGTTTTCGTAGTTAAAACAATAGCGGTGTTAATGGAAAAAACAGTTCTTTTGGCACACCATTTTTTTTAACGTAAGACGGTCCAAGTTTGCCATATATATATATATATATATATATATATATATATATATATATATATATATATATATATAATAAAAAATATATGGTGTTTTATGGTGTGCTGTATTTATGGGTAAAAGTGATAGAACGTATGTAAATATAAAAGTTGACACTGAGGTCACTACCGAGCGGCCACTCTTTGTTTCATGCTTAAACTGTTTAAGATTGTGTTTAAGTTAAACACAATCTTCAAGCCTGAAGATTGTGTTTAAGCATGAAACAGACTATCGTCGCTCGGTGTTGACCTCAGTGTCAACTTGTATATTTATAATTAGTAGAACGTTTCTTTTTTTTTTTTTAATTTGCGAGCTCCATGAGAATATTAATGCATTTAGCTTATTTCAACGCAAATATACAAGTGTAAATTAGCATACCAAACTGATTGCTTTCTTTGAAGAACTCTGGTCCCTTTAGAGTTAGTCATGCATCCAATCGTAAAAGGTGATCTAACTCGATCTATTAGACGGGCTGAGCTTATAAAATCTTTTAGTTTGTTATCGTCTGCAGATGTTTGCAATGAGTGCCGAAGGGCTGCATTAGAAGTGCATAACACAATTAGCAATACCCTAGGGTGGATAAATACGAACGCAAAATACATATGGCACCTTAGTTTATCTTTGATCAAATCTATTTCTTTCCAACCAGCTGTAAAAAGCATTTCCACAAGAAAACGCACCAAATGTTTTGTCAGCGTGAAGGAGGCTGTCAAACAGCATGGCAATCTGTGGCATTGGAATGCGTGTTGCGCGTGCGCGAAAGTTCTAAATTAGAACGCGCCACCCCCTGTGACGTTCTCAAAACTTCCCTCTCCGACTCACCATCCTGTCTATTCTTTTTCTAAATCATCTTGCTCTTCTCCCAATTCCCAACTCAATTTCTTTCATGTCGTCACAACATCATATCTATAAAACAGGGGCAAATAATTCTCTCAGGAGACCGGGCCGGGAAAGGGGGGGGGGGTTAGGATGAAGTTTGTGACCCAGTGACCCAAATACGGTAAGGTTTATATTTTTTCTGTATTTGGATGTCGGTGTTGTTGTACAACAACATTAGCACCGAGGAAGAAAATCATCTAGTTTTGAAAGATATGAAGCTGTTTAGGAATTTTGTTTTGTTAATTGTATTTCTGCTACAACTACATCTGCGGATACAGCAAGCGAATCTTTTACACTCACGCTAGTAAGATAGATTTGTAATGCTGTGGCATATGGGGGGGGGGTCTCATTTCATTTGTCCGGTCTTAGAGGAGGAAAAGTAAATCTGCCGAAATATCATCGTAATATTATCTTACTGAATTAGGTACTTACTTAAAAATATCTATTCAAAGTTAGATCAGACCAAGAATGGAGATCTGTTGTCATATTTTGGCGGGAGCTCTGCCTAAACCGCACTTCCCAACCTAGATAGAGTCCAAAAGCGTCTCAGTCCGAGTCCTTGTGGGTGATGAACTATTTTCCATCCTCTGACTTCTCTTTCACAGGCGGGATGTGACAAGCCTCCCGCTGCTCTGTCGCTACTTTCACGGAAAGTGCTCGGACGAACTACATTCCTTGGGTCAGCCAGGCCTAACCTTCACAGCAAAGACCCACAATTCCACTTACGTAGTAGCAAACCATCTACACTCCCTTCGTATTCTATGGGCGAGAAGTAAGTTCCATTCAAACAGCTTCTTTCCGTGAACCACTGTTCTGTGGAACCGACTCCTAAGAGAATGTTTCCCCGATCATTACATTCTTAACCTGTTCAAGTCAAGGTTTAACTGTTACCTTTCACTCCTATCTGTATAAACTACCTCCTAACGTAACCCTCTACCTCGAGTGGCCCCGCGGTCTTGTAAAGGTTGATGCTTACTGCAAAAAAAAAAAAAAAAAAAAAAAAAAAAATAGTAAAATAAATTCTATTCCAATAATATTGCATATAAAGGGTGTGGCAAAAATAACGCCCCTTTTATTCGAGCTGAGATGGATAGAACGTCAGGGAGCAATTGTGTGGCCATCACGATCTCCGTAACTATCTCCACCAGACTTTTTCTTGTGGAGGTGTACTGAAAGATCTTGATTACAGGTTCAAAACGAAAACAATACCTGAATTAAAACAAGTAATTTCTGATAAATTTGTTCTGAAATTAATGTAGAATAGTTTCAAATGGTTTCTAGAATTACTTACATATATATTACAGCCTTCTTCAGGTGATTCGATCTCTGAGATGAGGTATTATGATTACTTGCATTATTTACATTATTCGGACTGTTATTCTCATCTTCATTGCCATATTCACAATGTTTCGGTGGTCATACGCTCCGGTCTACTTCAGGTGACTGGAATTTCGAACCGAACCCTTTATTACGTCCACTGGGGTAGATTGTTCTAGTTCCACATGCCATGCTTCTTCCGGATGTCTCAGTTTATTTCCCTGCAACTCAACTCTCCAAGTATTTTGGTTCGCCACTGCTGTGGCCTGGTATTGAACTCACAACTCTTTGGATCTAACAAACGTCTTTATCCACTGGACCATGTATCCTCGAGGAACTAGAACACCCTACCCCGATGGACGACATAAAGGGCTCGGTTCGAAATTCCAATCACCTGAAGAAGGCTGAAACGTTGTGAATATGCCAATGAAGATGAGGTTAACAGTCCGAATAATGTAAGAAAGAAAAATATAATTTTATTCGGTTCTACATCTGGGACTACTTTACCCCAGGAGACATTTTGAATTGGGTCATATTATCCTTTTGTTATATCACTTTAATTTTGACTACTTGAAAAATGATCCATACTTTACTGTGTGTCAGAATTAGCTTTTAAAGTAAGGCATAAATTATGAAACTATAGAGAAAGCGCCTCGATTTAATTTATGTACTAAAGTATCTGTCTATATTTCTGAGATGAGGTATTATGTACATTATTTACATTCATCGGACTATTGTCCTCATCTTTGTCGCCATATTTATTACAACGTTTCGGCCTTTCAGTATCCGTCTATATTTCTAAGATGAGGTATTATGTACATTATTTACATTATTCGGACTATAGTCCTCATCTTTGTTCTCATCTTACTAAAAGAAAAAGAAATCCAGGGGATCTGTTGAGAGAACCCCAAAAAGTATTCAAAAGAGAATGCATTTTTTAAAAAGTTGAGGTGTTGTGTAGAAAGACGGCCGCTCTTCTCTGCACTAATTGTTAAATATAGACTCGTCCATTCGCTATGCTCGGAGGATCGGTCGTTGTAAAGTGGGTGACAAAACGTAGCGCTTGAGTCGTACACATTGTCTATTACTGTATTATTATTAATTCATGTCTCTGATGTGATTAAACCTGTTCTTCACCCAACTTTTTGTTCCAATCTTTCCTTACATTATTATTAACTAGAACTACAAACGTTGTATGAACTTTCTAACAGAAGTTTAAAAAAATGCTCAGAATCGTGCCTCTACTCCAGAGTTATTGGGTTAAAGCCGATTTCATTTAGCCCATTAAATATATGTCAAATTTAATGGTTATTTTTCTTTAAATAAGTTATTTGAAAGAGAATTATGTAAAATATGAACAAGTATTTGTTTTGTTTTTAATTATTTTTAATAAATTAGATCGTAAATTATTAAATTATTTTTTATAAAATATTCTAGAATGTCCATTTACTTTATTCAAAAATAAATTTATTTATGATTTATTTTATTAAAATTTTGCATTTTTCCATTAACTTTATTAAAAATAATTAAAAACAAGTGCGTTTTATTGAATTATTTTTTATATGTCAATTTACTTTATTAAAAATAGATTTATTTACGATTTACTTTATTAAAAATAATCAAAAACAAAAAACTGGTTCATATTTTACATAATGCCTTTCAAATACCTTATTTGAAGAAAAATATTCACTAATTAAGGTTTTAATCCTTAATAAATTGCTTTTATCCGGTTATTAAAAGTTTTTCCGGTGCTGAGTTGTCTCGGTCCCGAGTTGTCCCGGTGTTCAGTCGGTGGTGTTGGCGGTGTTGAGTCGTCCTGTACCACTTTTCCGTTACGCCCATGCTAGCAACAAATTTTTCTAAAATTTGAGAGCTTGTAAAATTTGATACTCACAGGACAGATTGAAGGCA